GAAATATGTTTGTGGAAGGGTCTATATTAAGAAAAATAAACTTAGGAAAATGTTGCCAACATAGTGCTTCCTTTGAATTTTTGTTCTTTAAAATTGTAGGTTTTACATCCAGATTTGGAAACAGCAGATTATGCATTTCCTCCTCCTCGAACAGCCCTGTCACATTCCAAAATGTTGGTAAGACCCAGTATTTCTAGCTTTGTAATAAACAGAAAAAAATAATGCTTTTCCTGAAATGATGGTTTTCCTTTTACTGTATTCTTCATAAATACTTTATAATTATTACATTTTTTTCATCATTTCATTTTAACATTATTATTTTTTACAGTTGCTGTTAAATTGAAGGGCACTATCTGACAAGGCAATGTATCCAACCAAGTTCTACTCAGAGTAGACACATTGAAATTAATGGCCGTCATACAAATTAATTTCAGTGTGTCTACTCTACATAGGACTAGCATCCTATATCTTTATACTGGTTTATGAAGTTATACAGTACCTCATCAGTGTCCTCTGATGTAAGCCTGCATTGTACTTTTTATCGTTGAAATTTAGCGCTAATGCAAATTCAGAATACCACTTACACACAATACTGCATTTTTAATGGAAAACTAATAAGAATCAAAGAATGATAGAGTCGGAAGGGACCCTGAGAGCCATCTAGTCCAACCCCCTGCAATGCAGGAATCTCAACATGCAGATTTGTGCTCTTCTTCTTCTTCCTCAGTAGATTACTGATGATAGAGCCTTCTGGCAGCCAAACTGCTGCTCATACAGATAATCTGGACTTCCCACCTGCTTGGGCACCACTTACTTTCTTGATGTGCAAGGGATGAAGCAGGAGAATCAGAGAACAAGGCAGAGCTCAGGGGACTCATCATGTTTCCTTATCCTTAAATGTCAGGTAGATTTAATACCTCAGGAAGTATGAGTAACAAAGCCCAGGCATTGTTGGTATTACTCTTTGTGATGCCATCCATTCTGGCAAGAAGTAGCAAAGTAGAAGAAGTCCCGAAGTAGCAATAGGTTAAATTCTGGTTTAGGCTAAGCTTGGAACATTTTTATTCCTAACTGAAAGGTAAATCTTTCACCTTTCAAAACCTAATGAAATATCTTTCTAAAATGTACTTCAGATGTTAAACTTCACTACAAAGATGTCACACTCTGACTGTTGTTTTTATTGGGCCATTGGAGCTCATATGAAAGGATTTTATACTTTTACACTTTACCATACCAGTTGCTCCTCTTGGTATGTTATGCCTAAAGACAGATGAAGCATTTTTCTCTTAGTTTGTGTTTAATAGGAGATAGTTGCACTCAATTTCCTTGTCTTTTCACAGGATAAAGAAGTGCGAGGTGTCTTTCTTAGGTTATTTGCACAGCTTTTCCAAGGATATAGATCTTGTCTTCAGCTAATCAGGATTCATTCAGAACCTGTCATAAACTTTCACAAGGTAAAAGCAAAGCTAAGTTATCAGCTTCTAGATGATCATGCATATTTTTGTTTTTAAGAGGTTAAAAAAGTCTTAGAATTATTAGTGCAGCAGTTGTCTTGCATAGGTCAGTGATGTGGTTTGATACTCCAATGTAGATTAGTTTGCTGAAACCTGATATGCTCTTTCTGCATGCTAATGATAATTACAATGATACTTTAGCCTACAGATAGCAGTTAAACTAAAAAAAAAATGAAATGGTGATCACTTTGTCTACCCCTTTGCTCTTTAAAGCAACAGTTGTACACTCATTAACCTCCAGCACATTAACATGCACCATCCAGTTGATAACAATGTGCAACTAGCAGAGATTAGGAGTGAATAATGTGTATCATATTAAATGTTAATTCACAATTCAGTGAATAGTTTTGTAAAATAATCCAGATGGCTCCAGCAAGTGAGCCAAAATAAGGAAGAATAAACAAGCTAGCATTTCCTAGCCTACTTCACCATTGGGGGGGGGGGATTTTTTTGACCGCAGCCGGACATTGAGCATGAAGCAAAACTCATCTGCCAAGTTGTTTTTCCATCAGACTTTTTCCCTGACCTTCTATAGCACAAGTCTGCCCCACCCAGCATTCCATCTTCATTTGTCCTATTGCATGCTCCAATGCCCTAGAAGAAGGGGAAGGGGGCATCATATTAGGTGGCTCAAGAAAACCTTCAAATAGTACCATATCCCAATGGATCCAGTGAGAATCAAGATTGAAAATGCTCATGTTTTATCGTCACCTAATTTTGCTTTAGTACTAGTTAGCTGTTGTTTTTTACCTCATAGCTGTTAAATGTATTTAATATGTAACTTTTACATCTTACCTTGCATAATTTTGTTTGCTGAAAGAAAACAGAGTTCTGAATGGATTCCAAACATATTTGGAATGAGAATGTGTGTGTTGATGGAAAATTTTCTGTTTACAGTAACCTTGATGCTATGCAAGTTCACTGTTTGGTTTTATAAAAAGCGTTAGGCGCTCATTCTTTGCTTTTGTATCTTACTTTCTATTGCAACCATCTTTTTGTGTTTGCTTGTTTTGACTCTTAAGTACAATGATATGAAAAAATGTGTTTACATGGTTAACATTTACTTGTTTCCACAGGCAGCCTTCTTGGGCCAGAGAGGCTTGATTGAGAATGATTTTCTTACCAAAATCCTGAATGGAATGGCATTTGCTGGTTTTGTGTCAGAGAGAGGTCCTCCTTACAGATCCTGTGATCTCTTTGATGAGGTAGAAATATTTTAAAAGAAATATGAAAGTGAGAGAAAATATTCATACTTAAATTTCTGTAACAATTTTTTTCTGTCATAAAAATAATGCTTTTGTCACATTATTTGTGTATCACATTTATATTCCACCTTTCCTCCAATGAAAAAAATGGCATACATGGTTCTTCCCTCCCCCTCCATTTTTTATCCCCACGGCAATTCTGTCAGGTAGGCTGGGCAGTGACTAGCCCAAGGTTCATGGCTGAGTGTGGATTTGAACCCTAGTCTCCCAAGTTCCAGTGCTCTAACCACTACACCACACTGGTTCCCCATTATGAAATATATCATTGTGAAAAATTCTGCAGTGAATTACCTCTAAAGCACTCATTTTGTGTAGTCATTACATTTTTTCTTGCAAATAATTTCACTGGAAACAATTGGGATTTTTTCTGCTGAATGCATTTTTTTTTTAAGAAAATGATTTTAAGTTCTTAAAAAAAGGTGTGGAACCAATGGGAATATTCCCAGCCATAATGAATGCATGAGAACATATTGCAAGCTCTGTCATAATAAATAAAAAGTGACTACTGCATGTTACGGACAGTTCAGAATCTTTAAAAATTGCAATGGCAATATTATAACATGGTTTTACATACTCCTACAAATCTTTCTGTATGACATTTATGGGAGTTTGTTAATGCAGAGAAGAAATGGGAATGGGGAAATACTGCTTTTAAAATAAAACAGTTGGGTTTTCATAACTGGCATGACTAGTGCTATAAATTTTACAATTTATAAAAAAGAATAATGAACTATTGGGGAATCATGTTTATTTATTTACGGTGTTTCTATGCTCCCTTGCAATCAGTTTGTTTTGTTGATTTGCTGTGTACACTTCTGAATGCTGAATATAATACACACAAAAACTAACAGATTTTGACAAAACATTCCTGTATCAATATAGCATGTATTTAAAACATGAACTGCATATTGAACCGACCCACACCCTGCAATCATCATCTGAGGTCCGAAGGGTGGCAACACAAGAGTGGACCTTTTCTGTGGTGACTCCCTGCTTGTGGAATACTTTCCCCAGGAAGGTTCATATATTAAAGTGCCAAGCAAAAACATTCCTCTCCCCCTAGGCCTTCGGCTAACTAAACAATTTATGGCCTTTTAACCAAAAGGGGGGGGGAAATTTTCATATTTTTTTTGTTACTGTGTTATGTATTTTTGTGTTTTTATATTCTAAACTGCCCTGTGATCCTCGGATGAAAGGCAGTATAGAAATGTAATGAATAATAATAATAATATTGCTTAGCATATTAAATGTGCTATATAAATTGACAGTTGTCAATATTATTTTAAAGAACTATGCTACCAGATTAGAAATGGTTCATAAAATATAATATCCTACTTCTGGCATCTGTTTCCGCAAAAGTGAAGTTAGAGATGTTGCATGATGTGTGCAATATGATGGGACAGACTTGCCTTTTCATTAGAGGAGTGTTGGTTTCAAATTCATGACTGGGCAATAAACCAGCATATATGAATCCTGGGAAATGCAGGTGCTTGCAGAAGGTGTTTCAGTGGACAACAATAAAAAGTACCATATAATGTAGCATACAAGTCCTTTCTTGGATTGAAGAGTGCCAGGTCAAGCTCAAAGTCTGGTTCATGAATGTCCAAAATGGACGACTCAGATTGACCAAGCCTCTATTTGTGTAGACTAGTGGGGCTGAGCCAGTCTTCTGCCAGTTGCAGCTTCTGGTTTGGGGTCATTGGCAGCAGGACTGTTTCTCAAAGTCTTCATTATACTAAACTTTATTTTAGATCCTGAAAAGAGTTACTTTACTCTCCAGAAAATAGTTAATTTTTTTCAACTAAAACCTTTTTTCCCCTTTAAGTTGGTAGCATTTGAAGTAGAGAGAATTAAATCTGAGGAAAGCAATTCATCAAAAATGTTAAAGCATGTCAGAGAACTTGCAGACCAGCTGTTCAAAAATGTAAGTACAAAGCATTCACATATTATAATGTCACTGAATAATGTTTCACTTCAAATTATTGAAACTGTAGAAATTTAAATAGGAATCATTGAAGCAGTGGAAATTTAAATAGAATTACCGTATTTTTCGCTCTATAGGACGCACTGGATGATAAGACGCACCTAGTTTGGGGGGGGGGGAGGAAACAAGAAGAAAAAAATTCTGAACCCCAGAAGCCAGAACAAGAGGGATCTGTCTTCTGGGATAGCCTCTTGCTGTTCTGGCTTTGGGGACAGCCTTTGAAGCCTCCGCAGAGCAGCGGGGTGAAGGCACCCTGCTGCCCTGCAGAGGCTTTGCGCAGCCAGCTGCGCAGCACTCCGTCTCCCTGTTCTGGCTTCAGGGACAGCCTTTAAAGCCTCCGCAGGGCAGCAGGGTGCCTTCACCCTGCTGCCCTGCGGAGGCTTTGCGCAGCCATCCCCAAGCTAGAACAGCGAGACGGAGTGCTGCGCAGCGCTCCGTCTCACTGTTCTGGCTTTGGGCTTAGCTGCGCAGCCTGCATTCGCACACACATTTTACCTTACTTTTTAGAAGGGAAAAAGTGCGTCCTATAGAGCGAAAAATACGGTAGCCTTGAATGTATGTTGAAGCTATACATATAGTTACTTAGTTGTATAACTTAACTGCAGTGATTGTTGCATTTGGAGACCCATTTACACTGAATCTAACTCAAGGTATCTTTTCTTAATATTAGTTGAAATATGCCACTTACTTTTCAGTTGTGTCAGATATGCAACAACCAAAACCATGCCCAGAAATGGGAGCCATATAATACAGTAAGATGAAAACTAGTCCCCTTACTTGTGTGTCTGTGGCTTCTCCTTTCTTGCTTGGAACAATAGTTTCTGCTTGACTTTACTAACCAGAGCCAATGCCATTTTTGAGCAACCCTAGAACTACTTCAATACTGAAAGTATGACAGCTATTGTTGTTCTGTGTGTCAACGAAGCAGATGTATTGTGATCTGTAGGATATCATTATTGTTACATTTATGTTTTTGGAGACTTTCCAGCCGAGGTGTGTATGTGGATGAGACAAAGGCTCATCATTATTTTTGTTAAGCTCTGGGTTCCCCACAATGGAAAATGGGAATAAACCTTCATTAACACCATCTTTTCTACCATACCACTGAATTGCTGCTAGCTAGAATTGTGCCATTTGTGATTAAAATCTGAGAGTGGGAGAAGATGTCTGGGCACAGCCTCAGAATGGCCATTGCATGTTCCTATGAGTTTTAATTATTGTGCTGTTTTGGGGAAAGTGTTGCTTTAGTGTGAGACTGAATGACTTTTTTACAGAATCACTTATGATGAGATTACTCATGTAAACAAAATTAAAACAGAAGCAGTGTGTTAAATTAAGGCCAAAATCAAATGATGGAAAAGGACAAGTGAGATGAGTGGCTGTATAAACAATATTGTAGAGATAGTGTGTGTCAAAGATTTGTTGCAAGCACACATGGAAAAATGAAAAAGGAGGTGAGGTTAAAATCCCCTGTGAGAGCTTTTCTGTGTAAATAAGCTTGAAATGAGGCTTATAATTTAAATAAACACTGTCTGAAAGAACAGTTAAGTGTTATTGTATGCCCAGCTGATGTGATGTTCTGGGTTCAATGTATTGTGATTGTATTTTAGCACTAAAATTTTAAATCAACACTGTTATAAAAATAGTTTGTGTGAATTTATGTTATTGTTGTGAACCACATAAAAGTTGTAGGGTGTGAGAACAGAAATGTTTTGCTATAGCATAAAGACTATAGGACTACCCACAGTTCCTATACTGCAGCATAAAACACAGTGTACATACTTTTACATTGTATAATTTTTGCTTTGTGAACTAGTATTAATCATTTTGGAAAATTGCATGTGCTGTATAGAAGAGGATTGGATTGCACATCTATTCAGTTTCAGAATTATACAAGCTTAGCCTTGTCTTACAACTTTGTTTTTTGTTTTTAAAGGTTAATCTTATAAAAATGAACATTGAAAAATTACAGTTACATGAATTTGTGATGGAGCATTAGTCATTTTAAAATTCTACACAAAGACAGTGCATAAAGTTTTATTACTTTCCAATAAGCTACAAACTTGGTGTTTTTGAAACACAAAAGAATACTTTGGGCTCAATCCAAAGTGAAGCACATTCAAATGGAGCACTTTCATTTATTTTATGTGTTATGCACATGCTTAAATCAAACGTGCTTAAGTTTTTACTAGTAAAGGCTTGATACTCCTCTTAGGGTTACACAATCACTTCCACCCTTTTGCTAAGTGAAATAATATGTCAAATAAGTCTTTTATTGGTTTAGATACCAAGATGATACTCTGTATTGTTATAAAATATTGATAGAAAGTACTGAATACCTTAATTCAAGTAGTATTTATTTTAATTCAGGAGAATCCAAATCCTCACATGGCATTCCAGAAAGTTCCACGACCTACGGAAGGATCTCACCTGCGAGTTCATGTACTTCCTTTCCCCAAGATTAATGAGAATCATGTTCAGGATCTAATCCAGGAAAGTTTGGTTAAGAACCAAAGTGCACCACCTGCTTCTCGTGTGGAAAGGAAATGTGTTGTTCCTGCTGGCCCACCTGTTGGTAAGAGAAGCCACCCTATGTTTAATTCTGCTGTAACAATTTCTCCTGACAGGATAAATGTGGATATTTTCGTACGTTTTCCCACATTGATTCACAGTGATGTGGGTTTCACAGTTTAGAAGTGAGTAACACTTTAGCCATTGAAATAAACCACTGACTTGTTTAATGATAAGAATAAAGTTGTCATTAACAGTAGTCCTATCTTCAGGTATCTATGAGTTCTTATGGTTGTGGAATATATTTTGATGTGATGGGAAGTAGCAGTTTTAAGAAAATAGATAAGTGTACTCTGTGGTATCAAAATAAATATTTCTGTGTTCATATTAGTTTGTTGAATAGATCTGTGTCCTACCCTCCTCTGAGGTGCTTAGATCCTCCCACCCAACGTACAAGAGTTGACAGTTATTTTATTAAAGCACGGAGGTATTCGCTACATAGCCTATCGTGTGTGCAGGGTTCTGCATTACTAACGCATTCCCCACTGCCATAATAGCTATACCAGTTAGCCAGCCATCTTTTCTATTTGGCCTTACCATCATCAGTGCATTAACTAACTTGAGACATTATTACATATTGGACTGTTTTCAGCAGTTGTGGACTGCCTTCTTGACAATTTGGGTAATACGGTGGTTGTAATAAAGGTGCCTACTTTGGCATGGGCCCTGAGCTATTCATTTGGGGCCATGTGTCATGCTGGATTTCCAATGGTAAGACACAGTTTTCTCTGCTAGGGGAATCCCCAGGGTGCCATTGTTTTCAAAAAGCCAATGGCATTTCTCATTATTTGCCTTGGCTTGGCCCCCAACTCCCTTTTAATTCTCCACTGCTGAAATCCCAGGTATCTTACTTCCGTAAAGGAGTATAACCCGTAATTCACAAGGGTTTTGCAGGGGAAATTGATCATCAAAATGCCAGATTTCTGCTTGTTCTTGCTCCTGAATATTCCCTGCCAAATTCATATGGATTTTAAATTCTGACATGCTTGCACAGTTTTCCTCTTTGGGGGGAAAATGTCAGTCAAGTCTGCCCACGTATCAATATGATAGACATGACTGTGCATTAATAGGGTTGTGTTCTCCTGCGCATTTAATGAGGACAAATGTAGCAAAATAAAACAAAGATACCCTAGGAGTTATTCTAGGAATGTTTCTAATGCAATAGCTCTTTAGTGATGCTTTTTACAAGAAATTGTTTCACATATGTTTCTACTTCTTTCTTTGTTAGTTTCCATAGTAGAAAAGTCAAGTACGGTTTTCAACAGTGCACAAAGGCTGGAAGTTGTTAGAAACTGCATCTCTTTTATATTTGAAAATAAAATTTTGGAGACTGAAAAGGTAATAAAAAATTCTGCTAAACTATTTGAGGAGTACTTCCAAGTTAAACTCATACATGTTAAGTGATTGACCTCTTTACTACTCCTGCCAGATTGTAGTCCTTTTTCATTTATTCATTGTCCTCTTCATCAAGTATCAGACTGAAAGTACTGAGGTACCAGTTAGGGTGGAGGCAGTGCATGTGAATATGTGGATTCCTTTTTACTCTAAATTAAAATTGGAATCTTACCTCACCCTCTTGTTTGCCCCTTCTCTGTTACATTTCTGTACATGGAAACCCCCCCCCCCCAAACAAATCTTCCCTCTTTTTCTTTACCTTATACATAGAGAGGTCACTCCTCCACCCACATAATTTTTTTCCTTTTCCACCCAGTGAACAATCAGGTCCAAACAGTATTTCCTGTTTCTCTTCTCCCTGTTCCAGCCCTTCATACCCTCAAAGTCTGTCTCCAACTTCAGGTTGGTTTGTTCCCTTACTTCAAAGCTGGAGACAGACTTTGAAGGTATGAAGGACTAGAACAGGGAGAAGAGAAACAGGAAATACTGTTGTGCAAATAGATTTTTGTTGTGGAAGCAGGCAGGCATCTTTGGATATTGCCCTTATTTTATTAATACAAATAAATCAATGTCCTAAAGAACTAAGGGCTGGATCAATTAACCCACTCTACTAGTGGAAGCCAGCACAAGGGCTCCTACTGGCACTATTTTCACTTGCCTTCCCCCTGCATAAACACCCAAATCTACTCTAGAGGGTCAGGAGAAACTCTAGAAAGAGTGCATAAGGGAAAGAGAAGGGAAATCATTCCACTGGGCAAGCAGAAATGCTTCTGATGAAGAACGATCTCCCTAGCACAATGTTGAATTCCACCCTCAGTCATATGACCACTTATACAACATCTTTAAAGTCTATGGAAAGAGCAGTGCTTTTCACACATTCATTAAAACCTACAAGACTGAGCACTGCCATGCTTAACTTTTGAGACCACAACCAAGAAGTTCCTTCTCTAAGCCCCCGCATTTCATTCAGTTTTATAATTTAGCATGAAAATGTTGTTCGGTTAGGAAATAGGAATACAGTGGTACCTTGGTTCTAGAACGTAATCCATTCCGGAAGTCCTTTCGACTTCCAAAACGTTCGAAAACCAAGGTGTGGCTTCCGATTGGCTGCAGGAGCTTCCTTCACTCAAGCGGAAGCTGCATCAGACATTCGGCTTCCGAAAAACGTTCAAAAACCGGAACACTTACTTCCATGTTTTGGTGTCCGGGAGCCGATTTGTTCATCAACTAAGCCGTTCAAGAACCAAGGTTCCACTGTATATGAAAATCTGGGAGAGTTTAAACCTATCACTAGCTTAAATGTTGATCGTTTAGAGACTTTGTTGATTTGGTTTACTTTATTTACAAATAACCCAAGTATTAGTAAAGAACACAATTAAACTAATGTTTTGTGCAATTCGAATACATTTTTCTCTATATAGACTCTGCCTGCTGCACTGAGAGCCCTAAAAGGAAAAGCAGCACGGCAATGTTTGACACAGGAACTAAGCCTGCATGTTCAGCAAAATCGAGCTATACTGGATCATCAGCAGTTCGATTACGTTGTACGGATGATGAACTGTACTTTGCAGGTACTTAAAATTCCTTTTAGCTTCAACTTGTAATTTACTGAATACAAATGTTCATGTGTGTGAGGTACTAGATTGCATTGTATATTTTGCTGTATTTCCAATTAGCTGATTATATCTGCCATTTATAATTAGCATGGGTGATATTTTAACATTCTTCCCTCTTCCTACAAAACTTTGCTCCTGGGGGTCTGAGCATCACTCTTAACCATTTTTTTTTTGCACTATAAATATGAAGCATTTCTTTTCCCTGGAAGACAGCAAGGGTTCCAACTTTCTTTGGTAGCATTTGTCTTGCACTTCAGATTGTTGCTAACACATAGCTTTGTTTTGGTTTGTTTATTTTATTGCATCTGAATGCTTTCTACACTATACCTACTACTTGATAGTGAATGAGAAATTACAAGTGATGAATAGTGCATCAGTTTGTTTGGTTTTTAAGCAGCTTGGGGGGGGGGGAGTTACTGCACTAAAGTCTATATTGAGGTAGGCAACCTAAGGCCCGGGGGCCGAATGTGGCCAAATCGCCTTCTCAATCCAGCCCACGGACGGTCCAGGAATCAGCATGTTTTTACATGAGTAGAATGTGTCCTTTTATTTAAAATGCATCTCTGGGTTATTTGTGGGGCATAGGAATTCGTTCATATTTTTTTCCAAAATATAGTCCGGCCCACCACATGGTCTGAGGGACGGTGGACCAGCCCACGGCTGAAAAAGGTTGATGACCCCTAGTATCACTCAAGAGCAAGAGAATTTAATGGCAGAGACCAAATTTTGGGGTTATGGAAGTATACAAAAATATTTAGCAGAATTGAATCAAATTATTCACAAACTTTAATAGCTGTGCTTTTCTTTGACCCATGAGTATTTTTCTGTAGAAAAGAACTTTGTTCCAGAATGCTTATGATTTTGATTTCAGGGTTATTTTCTTTTTCAAGCTTCTTCATGACAAAACCGAAGAACTCCCCTTGTGCAATTGTCTGCTACTCAAAAGCAATGTTATCTCATGAAGCTTTCTTGGTTTTGGAATATTGGGATAACTGTTGATAATAAATATGCATTTAAAATATGGCTACTTTAAACCAAGAAGTTTGAACTAAGCCAGCTACTTTATGAATTGTAAAATATACATGGGTGTCAGGGACGAGTTAGAAGTTTCCAGTTTCTCAGAGGGAGAAAGCATTCCCCTAGGGGGAAAGGAGAGCAGTGAATCTAATAGAAGAGAGCAAGAGGAACAACAGGGAGGGACTGGCTTTTCACAGGAAAGGCAAGGGTTAAGTTCTAGCTCAGATTCGGAGGAGGGGAGATACAAGCCAGCTCTAGTGAGGAGGTTAGAAAAAAGAGTGGGAAAGCGAAGGTGCGCCATTTTGAGAGTGGCTGGTCACGGAGAAGCAGAGCTCAGAAGGTATCTGAAATAAGTGACTCTGAGGAATAATAGTTAAGAACCGTTTATAAGATTGTTTTGTTAATACACAATAAAAAGTTATAAAAGAACAAGAAGCATTTGTGTGGTGATCTGAAGAGGACAACGACCAGTCCTGACAATGGGTGTCTGAGGACGTGGCCAGGAACTAGAAAAATCCACATGAAATTTTACCTGTCAAATGTTCCATATTTACTTCTCCAAGGAATCATTCTAAAAAGGCACCTGTGATAGATAATAAACACTAGAATTGCATTTCATAAAAAATGCCAAAAGTGACAGGATATGCATCAGTATTGATTTCCTTAAAATTGTTATAGAATAGCATGTAGTATGTAGGGAAGTTGGCACTGTGAGAGCCCATGAGCAGGAGCACCACATTGTCTCCACCAGTGCATCTCACAATGCAGATCTCCCCACCTCTTCACCCCCCTCTCTCCCAGTAAAGTAGATGGGAGGCCAGGTATGTAGCACCATCCACCCTCACTGACTGCTCCCAACAGGATCCCAACAAAAGTCATTTGAAAATATATACAGTAACACAGTTAGTTATACATAGTACCTATATGTGTGTATAGAATCATATATAATATTGTATTTACAGATTTTTAAAACTTTGCCCAGCAGATATGTTTGTCTTATTTAGGGACCACCACTTGACTTTATTATTACCAGGATAATAGTACAGTAAAAAGACTATGTCTAATAAACTGTGATTCACAGCCCCTTCAAAATCAATCTTTGAATGTGGAAAGTGAAAAGTGTGGGCTGTAAAAATTAATCTACCGTATCTGTATAATATGCTTTACATGGGAAAGGAATTAACAGTACATAGAGCACTGAATCAAAAATATGTAGGAGAATGTCAGCTTTGGAGTACTTGCAAAATAAAGAGAGGACCTTAACACAAATTAAACAAAATGCAAATTAAGACAACATTCAAGTTAAACAAAATAAATCACAATGTCCAATTGCATTTTTCTCATAATATAATTGTAAGCTGCAGTCTATTCTCATTTATTCATTTTCATCTTTTGCCCACCCCGTCCCTGAAGCACCACAACAGTAAATTCAAATGAAACAAACACCAACATTAACATCAGACAAGCAAAACTACAGTATTCAAAGTTCTGCCTAACCCTGTTTTTCCTTTTGCCAAACCTCCTCCCGCTCATGCTATGCTTCTTACCCAGGGGAGTCCTTTGGATTCTTCCTGCATAGTACTGTAGTTCAAAGATCATTGCCTTAATGTGCAGTTTCATTATGACTGTTTATTAATTTTCAAGATGCCTGCAGGGGGGTTGTCAATTAAAAGACCAATGCCAAAACTCTTTATAGACATTTCTGCTCTTTTGTATCTGTGAATAATAAGTAAAATATCTCTGGAAAAATAGATTTGATCCAGAGCTGCAGATCAGAGGGGAGCCCAGACTTGCATGATTTCCTTTGGTTTTTTACCAGAACCCCATCATCTACCATAACAGATCATACTACAAAATGGCTACATGGGGGCTACCTACATATCCAGTAACATACCTGAGGTACTATAGATAGGAATTCTAACATCAAGCCCTAAAAACTGCACAAGAACACAAAGGACAGGAAAAAGGCAACTGATTAACAAGTCCCCTTTGCAGGTGAGGGATAAAGTGCCTTCAACCTCATTTGTTCTTAATTAGGTTGTCTCATTTATATTGAACAATATTGTGCTCATTATTCATTAACTGACTACTTATTAGCTTGTCCACATGCAGATACATAAACAATTTAAAATGGCAAAACCAGGTTATTATTATGAGCGCTGAAGGATAATGGACAGCAAAGATATTTCAGTGGTTGGGTAGCAAGTTTCATAATGAGGTTTTAATATTTTCTCTTGACTTAAACAACGGTGAATTTTAAAAGCACTTTAAGAACTTTTGCTATGAACTTTTTTAAAAAAAAAAAATCATAATAATGAAAATACTCAGAGTAAAGAATTACACACAGGCCTACTTTACATATCATGCTAAGTCACACTATGCTAACAGCTGCTTTGCTCTTCCCTTGTCCTTTTCATTATTAAACCAAGCCATGATTTGGCTTATCATATCATCTGAACCTTGGCTCATGGTTTGTCTCATTCCAGACAAACCCCAAGCTGTAACAAGGGTTTGTTAACCAAGTGTTTTCTTCTAAGAGGATTGATGCTGGCAGCAAACACTTAAAACACAGAGAGTAATCATTGCTGACCTAGCCTGTTTTAACGTAGATGTTCCAAGGCGAAAAGGACAAAGTATTGCAGGCTTACTGGGAATGCCTGCCCATGATTGATACTGCTCACTTGTTTCAGCTGATGTTCACAGAATCTCATAACTATCATAGAAGGACAATCAAATGCAGCACAGTTCAAAGACATGGGGCATTTAAAATCAGAATGCAACCTGCAGTTTGAGTTCAGAATTTTATGAGCTAGCAAAAACTCATAGCCAAGGACTGGTGAACATCTGTAT